TATCAGGCCTGGACTGGAGTGCTGGCTTCCTCCAGCTCTGCTGGCCATGGTTTTGGGTGAGTATGTTATCTAAACTCTCTAACCCTTAGTTCCCTGATCATAAAATGAGGACATACTCTCTATCTTTCAGGACTGTTGTACGTATTCTGTAAGAACATGTATATAAAGTCCTTTGTAAAGTTTTTGTCACATAATAAATGCCCAATAATTATTTGGCAATTATTATTTTAATTTCTATAAGTAGCTTTTGGTTATTAATCTGTGCTCCCTGCCAAAAAAAAAAAAAAAGAAAGAAAGAAAGGGTGTGAATATAATATTAAAATTCAGATGAATCGCCAACGTCACCCAATGATCTGAACCCCCCCTGGACTGCCTTTGGAGCAGCAGAGCTGCTCAGGAACATCTGTATGGTCAGCTGTTGGCAGTGATGGCTTTTCACTGAGTCCTGGAAAGAGCTCAGACTTAGGTCACTTGATTACTTGTGTATTCCAAGAGCATGGGACCAGCTTGTGAGTGGTGAAAGCTTAAAGATACTTTCATCCCAGTCCTTATCAATTAGCCTATGTCTCAATATTTTCGGGCTACCGCTGTGTTCCAGCTAGTTTTCTATCAAGGTGGGATCACAGTGAGACCTTGTTAACCAAACTGTTACCATTAATTTTATTTAAACGTATGGCGCCACTTCCCAACTCTGTACTGCCAGATGTTAATACCTATTTTTTATTAAAATGGTGAAAAGGTAAGTAAGTTTGAGAAACTGGGCAGGCTACAGTGCACATTACCATAAGTTTTGAGAAGTCAGTCCTAAAGTAAAGCAGTTGGCTTACCTTTGTGCAATACAGCATTGTGCAGGCTTAGTTGGCTTTGGACAAAGTTTAGAAGACTGTCATTTGTAGCAACTAGAACAAAGGCCATGGTAAGTACTCAACAGAAGATACTAGTATGTTGAAGGAACAATGTCATCCAGAGAAGCTACAGGTTCTCTTTTGTGCAATTTTCAGGACCACTAATACAATACTATGTGAATTTGTTCGAATGTGGTATACAGCCCCCAGGTATTCTCACAAATACGAAGAGTTTCTTCAATGTACATGGAGATAGGCAGGCATGAGAACAGGTTGTGTGGTATCACAATTATTTTACAAAGATGAAAATATTTTAAAAGTTTGAATTGCCAACTGACTATATCTCCTAAGATATATAAAAATCTGCTTACCCTTGTTTGTGTAAGTTGAGGATTTATAGCTCTGAACCATTAGCACTACAGCAACTTTGAAATACTTTTTTCTCAAAATGCAACAAAAATTATGTTCATTTTAGGATCTGGGTGTTGCATACATGGCTATTCATGTTAAAAGTCATTTAATGTTTCTGTATGTTTAAAGTGTTTATAATAAAATATTTGAAAAGATGTAACTGCACAACTTGTTTATTCTGAAGTATATATTCTTTATTTCAAACTGAAATACCTTTTACACACTCAAATAATTTTAAAATCATTTTCATCTAGGAAAGATTATAAATGGATGTTAATGAACCTGACTCAGCAACAGGAAGTGGTTTTGTATAAATTGTTACAAAAATGTTTACAAGTCAGAGGTAGATTCTAATCATGTTAGGTACAGCACATTAAAGCTAATTTTTTACAAGGTTGTTATTATGTCCTTTTCACAGATGGGTAAATTTAGATATAAAACCTGTCTAAGGCTGAGGAGCAAATTGCTGACACAGCTGGGATCATCTACACCCTGTCTGTCAAACACTCTTCACCATAAAAATTCACCCATAAGTAAAAAAGTCTAAGTGGTATAATCTAAAGATTTACCACTACATGTCTGTATGTAAGTGACAGGGATGACACAAATGAAAACGTGTGTAAATGAGATGCTATTATGAGTTGCTTGATCTGTGCCTACCAAGGTTTTTTCATTCAGAGGCTAATCACAGGACTAGAATGTAGATGCATTTTAAACAAACACTGCTTCTTTTTTCACTCTTATGCTTTTTTATTTTAATTTTGGCAACATCTACTTTTAGTCATAAGTCTGTGAAGTAATTCATTTTAATGCATTTAGAAATGCACAGGATGGTAATATTTCTTAAAATGAGATAGCAAACTGAATTCTTACTTATAGTGACACTATTCTAAAAATCAAGAAATTAAGCGCCGGCCGAGTGGCTCAGTTGGTTAAGAGCGTCAGCTCTGAGCAACAGGGTTGCCGGTTCGATTCCCACATGGGCTAGTGAGCTGTGCCTGAGCTGAGCTGCCAGCAGGTGACAGGATGGCTCAGCTGGTGAGAGCACGAGCTCCTAACAACAAGGTTGCTGGTTGGACTCCCACATGGGATGGTGGGCTACGCCCACCTGCAACTAAGATTTAACAAGGCATGTTGAGCTGAGCTGCCTTGAGCTGCCAACGGGCGGCCAGATGGCTCAGTGGTTAGAGCGTGTGCTCTTAGCATCAAGGTTTCCGGTTAGATTGCTGCATGGGATGGTGGGCTATACCCACCGACAACTACTAAGATTGAACAGGGCACCTTGAGCTGAGCAGTGGTGAGCCGCCGCTGGGCAGCCGAAGGATGACTAGACTTGGAGCTGAGCTAGCTGCGCCCTCCACAAGTAAGACTGAAGGACAACAACTTGGCTGTTCTCCTTCCCCAATTCCCCAACACTGTTCCCCTTCCCCAATTCCCCAATAAAATCTTAAAAAAAAAAATTAAGACTTCTTTCAGAACCCATAAATGAGAACTATAAAATGCTTCTTACATCATCAACACATGTCACTATCAGGAACCTAGGGGGATCTTCAATTTGAAAAACCCACTTGTATTGTGGAACAAATCAGGTCTTGAATGCCACAGAGAAAGACTTAATTTTGTATGTGTCTCTGTAAAATGTGAAAATTGTGTATTTTCACTGATAGTCCAGAACATCTTGTTCTTAAGGGAATATTTTGGCTTCTGGGCATGCTATACTGACACCATCTTGTCAAGGAATCTTCAAAATGACATCCTTTGGAAATTCTTTGTGAAGTCTTTAAACCAAAAGGTTTATAAAATACTTTTATTTTAAATGAATACAAATGTGGGCCCTTTGTACCAAGATGTGAGCTATATCCAGGAACAGTGCCAGCCTTGCTACCTGGGGAGTGAATGACAGCAGGGTCCTCCTTCCAGATCTGCTGAGCTCACCCAAGATTTTCTCATCACTTATGGATTTATTCAACAGTCTCAAGCATTTCTTGGTGGATATTTAGGCCTATTTTTAAAATGTCATTTATTTTATTCCTGATTTTAAAAGTGTATACATAAGTATGCCAAGTATAAGGAAAATATAGAAGTATAAAGAAGAAAATAAATATAACTAGTAATAAGCATTATTAACATTTTGATATTGTTTCTCTCACTATCAAAATCTATTTCTGAGTTCCAATACAAACTTTTTTCTTTACCCCAGTGTACAAATGTAAAGTAAAATTGAATGACACTTGATCTATTTGGTTCCTGAATTTGGAGAACAAGATTTTGGATAAAAAGCCTTCTATATATTTGTAGCTCTAAGTATATTCAAATAGCTAAAGGGCTATGCATCAAAATGATATTGAAGAAATAATGCATTTTTACAAAACTTGCCTCATATTTTTAAGTAGGTAAGACCACATAGGTTAGACAAAAGCAAGTTTCAGCTTCTCTTGCTAATATCTCCTTCTTTCCCACTTTCTTGTAATTTCTGAAAGTGTGGTCTTATATATTTTTTAATGTAATATTCTTAAACTATACCTAAGGATTACTGTCATAAAATGCTTCTCTGTAATTATACCTCAGAAGAACATATTTAAATGATGTAAATGTTGTGCTTTTCAGAATTTAAAATCAGAAAACTTTTTGTCCATAATATAAATAAAAATCGGCATTAACACACATTTTTTATTGTTATAAACAAAAATACAAACACTGCTGCAGCTAACCTCTGTGTTAGCCAGCCAACAGTTTGTTAGGTTTTTTTCTGTAAATGTTCACATTTCTTTTGAATCGTATCAATGACCAAGGAAGCCAGATTTGGTTTCCCAGAGAGGAATCATTAAGGACAGAAATAGTCTCCTGAGCACAGGAAATCTGCAAGAACCTACACAAGAACAAGCAGGCTCCAGGGAAAATGACAATGTCACTAACATGCTCATTCACGTCTGGCCACAGAGCCACCAGAGATATTTAAAAGCATACTAATTAGGCAAGGCAAAATGTAACTATTCATTTAAAGAAAAATCACACTATTTACATATATGTAACATGTAAAACTCAAACCAAAACTTAATATGTATTTAAAACCCAAGAGTAAAAATCTGAATTTCCCTTCAACTATATCCATTATTCTGCAATAGCATCATTAACATCTGTCTCTCTTTAGCTGACCGAGAAAGTTGACGGGCGTGCAAAGCCACACATTAAGAATGTGTAGGGTAATAACCAGACTCCTAAGCAGCAGGAACCAAAAGCTCCATAAAATATTACTCATAGAGTAATTTAGTAGAATAATGTAAATCTGAAGGTCTTCGATTATAAAAATTGAAATTAGGTAATATTTCTTAAAGATCTGAGAACTAGTACCTTTACACCAAACAATTCTTTCAAGATTAGTTACATGTATATTGAGCATGGAGAAGGGAGAGGGTGCAAAAGAGTGGGGAGCTGAAAAAAATCTTTAGAAAGTGAAGAAGAAGGCCATTCAAACCTTTTTTTCATCCAACATCCAAAACACTGGCAGGCACATTTTAAATAATTAAACAATTGTGAAATGCTTCCTCATTCAAGTAACATTCAATGTAATCGACATGTATGCTGAACCAACTAGGCTTAAATCGAAAGTAGTATGAGCGTAAACATATCTGCATTAGAAAATGTAACATGCTACCAACTCCAGGTCATGCGTTCCCACTAGCAGCCTGGCATTTCAAACAACAGCTGATGCAGGTATTTTTAAGAGCATGAGTTAGTTCCTACCTCCACATAGTCCTTGGCATGGCCCCAATCTCGTTTTGCATCCAGATTTCCCAAACTGAAAGACTCCATTTGTCCAAGGTAAATCTTAGCTACTGACCGGCTAATTTTTCGAGTAACAAAATTAGCTCCTAAAAAGAGACAAAAGATGTATTATCAGTAGAGTACATTTGACATCTAACAGGTTGCTAAACCAAACCCAACCTCAGCCCCTGGGTATTCTGTTCATTCTTTCTGCCCCTTCCTTAAAATAATAATAAAGAAAGAGAAAAAAAAAGATCATTAACTGTCATTTAGACAAGTTAAGAAGCTCTAATTCTAAGTGTCACATCGGCTCTACTTTCATAACAAACATTTTTCTTTGGGGGACGTCTTAGACATTCCTAATTTGTTGCTGCAATATGCGACCCAGGCATTAGTCCAAAGAAAAGCTATCATAATGCCAGTTTTTTAAACAGAAAATTCAAAAGGATTGTATAAAGGGAAATGCCAGAATGGAAGACAGACATCTAAGACCACCCTGATTTTTTTTTTAACAACATAAACATCACATATTCCTATTAATAAAGCTATTTTGGGGCTCATGGGGAGAGAAGAGGGGAGTAACTTAGCTCACAGGGTACACAATCAGTTAAAAGAAACACACCAGATATGCATTTGGGTTGTCAATAAGTGGTGATCACTTTCATTTAGAAACTTGCTCAGCCACACAATTATAAATTATGCCACAGCTCTAAATCAAAAGTTTCTCTGTACTATATTTACTGAAATGTCACTTTCCAACTTCATTTAAGTGTTATCTACAGGAATGAGCTCCTGAGATCTTTATAAATATTTTGAAATGAACAGATGAAAGATGTCATAAATTGAAGAAAGTAATGAAATTGTTTTAATGCTCTCTGGTCTTCAATGAAAGCCTCTATCTACTTTTAAAAGACTACAAAAAAGGACAAAATTAAGAGACACTGCTGAGACAATTTTATCCATGCCCCTATATCTAGGTAAGGTTATCACAAAACACCAAGTAATGCCAGGTTCTCCAGTAATAACACACATGAGCTAGTCAGTAATGGCTTCATATAGTTTAGATAGATTATTATCATGATTTATCACATTTCAATAACTTTAGCTTTGTTCTTTTGCAGGTGAAGCAGGAAGGTGAATGTTATGATGAAAAGTTTTGGCTTCTAGAGAAACTGGCACAGGGATAAGGGGATTTTTCTATGTAGGTTTTCTAAATTTTGGCAAGACTATGGCCTAGTGCAAGTTCAAACACATACCAACTAGGTTCACATAGTACTCAGACTCCGTACACATCTATACTAATGCCATGTCATTAAAAATGACAGTGGAACTTCCACGGAAATTCAGATTTTCAGTTTCTCTTAGCAGTTCACAGAGTACCTTAGAAATCCAAAGTTTCAACTTTCCATGGCAGTTTATAAGACACATAGAGCTCCTTAAAAAAAGAGCCTTTCCAAATGAAGAAATATTAGGTGCAATCCTTCTCAATCTATTACCGATTTTTATTACTCAATTTTCTATTGAGTTGTAACAATTAAATTCATAATTAAATTTAGGTTTCTTGAAGTCTATCTTTCTATTTTAATGTTAGAACTATCGTATCATCCCAAAATATACTAGATAAATGTGTGGTGCAAAATCATTAAAAGAAGCTCCCAACAGAAAAGAGTTATTATTCTATTTACCAATAAACTAATGTTGAGGAGTCAAACGGAAGCATGTGATCTTATTCAAACAATCGACCCTCACTGTTTCTTCTTTCATCCAGTACTAACTGAGCAGCAAACACCACATCCTAAGCTGGAGGGTCCAGGACTGAGCAGCACCCCACCTCTCAGGCAGTACAGAGAGGGGAAGAGACAAATCAGTGCTGCCAGAACTGAAATGACGGGTTTGCAAGGACAGAAAGAGTCAGGGCCATTACACAGCTGCTGAATGTGGGCAGCAAACACCCACCAGAAAAGGAGCCCGAACTGAGTCTCCCTGTGAGGTCAGGAAAGGGTTGGTTGTGAGGCAGGGACAGTGACCCAGGTGGAAGGAGCTGCAAGTGCAGGGAATGGCCAGGCTGCAGGCTTTTCTCTTCACACCCTTATGGAAACTTGTAATGACCACAGCCACAGCATCGCTGACGATGGCCACTGCTTTTAGCTAAGCTACTTAGATACAGAAACTCATTTAATTTTCAGAGCAAGCCACAAGCTAAGAATTCTTACTACCTCCTTTGTAGATGAAGAAGCTGAGATTTAGGGCCGGCCGAGTGGCGCGGTGGTTAAGAGCTGGCTTGGGACGCCAGAGGGCCCTGGTTCGGATCCCACATATGAGGGCCAGTGACACTGCCCTCCACAGCTAAGATGCTGAA